ATATGGACAATCACGCGGACGTACAATCACCACACATAGTGTTCCAATTCTAAACACAGTACTCTTCATTTCACGTATAATGTTCTTGCATTTCATTTATAAAATTTACTAAAAGGCAATCTTCCCAGTGTCATATGCACTTGTAATCAATGTCTTGAATATCTCAAAGAAGCTCGATTTAAATAAAAAAAGTATTTTTTGTGAGGACTCCTCTTATAGTTTAACAATGCGCACGTTGCACTTGATTTCGATATCAAGTAAGGTTTGTATGTTTAGTTCGTGTTTATTGATTTTCTCTGAATTTTTAGAGTTAAGTTTATGTTTAATTTATTATTTTTTTTATTTTTAGTTTCTTATATGAAAGAAGTAATGAGCTAATATGGTCGCAAAGGATAATGATGGAAACAATCCAGAAAAGGAAAAGGCATAATATATGAAGGTGTATTGATCATAGGCCACCATGTATCTGTCAAAAATCCTTACAATGGCACAAGGCACATGCCACCCAGGGCTACCTGCAAAGTAAGTCATAGTATGTCAGAATCTTTTATCATATATACATATAAGTTAAGTATTTAAATGTGACATTTAAGTGCATTTGAAAGCATAATCGAAGATATTAAAGTCCTGAATTTGTAGGGGTAAGGTGACACGAACATTTTTTTATAGGGGAAGAGGAAGAATCGTGGGCATGAATTGGAGAGTCGAAGCCTATTGAAACCTTATGTTGCGAGTTATGGCAAGTTTTTTTCTATCTGATTTGTTTATTAGCATTTTTTATACATTAAATTGATATTTATTTAGTTAAATATGAAATTTGGGTAATTGAGATGAGGCATGAGGTGGATAACAAGAAAACTTTGTGTGCGAGTAAAAGAGGAGATCGATTTGAAAGCCTATAAGATAATGTTAAGACCTATTATTAGAATTAAAAATATAATTAGTAAATTAATGTTATTAATATTTATTCTAATACGAAGTGTTGAAAAAGGCTATTTATAATTGGAATTGGAATTGGAAAAAAATTGACGATAAAGTGAGATGGAGGATTAAACTAATAAAGAGATCTACTAAAGATTGAGGTGAATAATTATGTTTCTTGATATGTCATGAACGAATTCTCATCATCTAGCAGAAATCTGAAGGTATGACACTAGTCTTGCGGCAATCATTTGAAATAGAAATATTCAAATTTTGATCAAAAGTTGAATAGAGCTTCGATTTTAGCAAACTTGTAGTCAAACTAACCGGTTCGATGAGACGGTCCCGATGATATAAAAAGTCATCTAATCCAAGACAAATCAAACTCTAATCAAGCCATTAAACCACATTTAGAAGTTTTTTGAGCATATTCGGGGGACCAAATGAATGTTGAATTTGTCGAGTTTACAGTCAAATCAAGCGTCTCGACAAGATGAATCCAACGAGTCTAAAATCGTTCAATTCTAACTTTGTGAAGGCACTCAAATATCCATCGAATATTGCATGATCAAAGGAAGCACTCCGGGATGTCTGATCAAAGTAGCATATATTCTTGCATTAATTGCACTCAAAACTCTATAAATAGAGCCACACATCTCTCTTGAAAGGTAAATGAGAGTTTGAGGATTGAGAAAGAGCTTGAATGAATCATTATAACAAATGAAAATTTAAACTAAAACTTCAATCGATCTTACGACCCGTTAACTATTGCACATACTCCTTGCTCTTCTTAAATAAACTCGTGTGTGTTTCTCAAATATGAAAATGTGTCAACCCCATGAAATTTGGCTCTAAATGTTTCATCCATACTTTGCTTACAACTATACTTATATTTATAGCTAAACCAATTCTATTTATAATTGGCAATAATAATAATAATACCATTAATATTTGAATGTATTCCTTACAAAATTCAGCAAATAAAATTTATTTTAATTGGAAGTTTAGTTAATGCTACTTTACTCACTACATTTAAAGTTTCCTAATAAAACAAGGATGTATTTAGCACTATCATATTTGA